TCTGGTACTGTTTTTAACTGGTTTAAATCTTATCTTAGCGACAGAGTATTTTTTGTAAATACTGACGAATGTTCATCAAAAAGCTACAAAATGAACTGTGGGATTCCTCAAGGTTCCACTTTAGGTCCTACTCTTTTTCATCTTTATATGTTACCACTGGGAAACATCATCAGGAGGCACAGCATCAATTTATACAACTATGCTGATGACACACAGCTTTACACTGCCGTGTCTCTGAGTGACCCAGGTCCAATAGATGCCCTTATTAACTGTATCTTAGATATTAAATCATGGATGGCTAAGAATTTTCTACAGCTCAACCAGGACAAATCTGAAATTTTGGTCATTGGCAATGAAGCCCAGAGAGAGAAACTCAATGAGAGATTGCATGCACTGGCACTGAACCCTTGTCAACAGGTGAATATGGTGCATTATTTTTAGCAGGTTTATGTTTGAACAGTGCATTAGAACAGCCTGTGATCCCCTGACCTCTCATCTAGCATCACCACCAGTCCCAAGTTTCAATTTGTCCAGCCTCAGCTGTACTTTATGGTTTGTGGTAATTCACAAATGTTGGCATGTAAAATTGTTAAACTAGGGTTAGGGTTAGTAGAGGTTTAAAATTGGACATGGAGCTTCATTCTTCCATATTCCTGCAATACTTGTTGCAATGAATTAAAGTTAGCTTCTCACTGAGAAGGATTACTGAGGTCTGATAATTTGAGTTACCTTTGATCGATATGGAGATTGGTGCAGAGTACATCACATCTGGTGGTCCTGGCATCAGGACAAAAGTCAGTCCTCATTCTGATACATCATTTTCTTAATTAGTTACGGTGAAGCCAGAATGAAGATTTATGATGCTGGATATAAAGGGAGTTCCAGTCGGGAGCTGCTCCCCCTCGACATGTTTAACTGATCAAGCTACAACTTTAAGGTCTGCTGTATCTCTGGTCCATTGGATGGGATCCCAAGGTTCTGTCTTGATCTCAGGAAGGGCATCGTTTTTCTTACTTATTAGCTGATTCAGGGTTTCCAATGAAGCTTTCTTTTCTCTATCAGGTCTGAAAAATGAGAATGTACTATGCGGCATGGTGGTTTTGATATTGTGTTTTCTCTCAGCAGGTCTGCAGACCTGGAGGTTAATCAACGGCAAGGGACACACCTGGCCCCAGTGTGCTCCATACATATAAACATAAGCAGCAGGTAGTCAGGGGGCAGATCTCCTCTCACCACATTTAATTTCGTCATTGTTTTTGGTTTCTTCTCCCTGTTTTTACAGCACAACACTCATGTATCACTTTGTCACTCATCTAGTCAGTACTGTAGGAAAAACAGCCTTTTGAACTCTCCCAAAACCTAGATTGTAAGTAAATGGACAGGTGAGATGGGCTACTCTGAGGGTCAAATGTTTATAACTTCGTGCGTCTAATGTCAAAGTTGATGAACTCTTTCACCGTCATCCTGGCATCCAGAGTGGTAAAGGTGTCAATTGGAAACCATCCAGATCCCAGTTTGCTGGTTACCATTGTAGGGGAAATACCTTTTTGATAATGTTTGCACTTGTAATAAAGTTTTGGGCACCACCCTCCTAATGAGAGAAGCGACTAATCAAATTAATAACTCCATAAACCAATTATTAATTCGTCAGCACACTTATCAATAATGAATCAATCTCAATATCTGGGTTATGAATTCTCCATACAGTGATCTTAATTCCTGCTCAAAAGAAATCTGGAAATCTCTGTCACCTGATGCAGCCGCTGTGCTGTGATAAGAGTTGATGTCGAATAGGACACTTAGTTATCCTGATCTTAATTTAGGTTTCGTTAGGTAAATGGTTTTGCGCATCCCTGCCTCCCCAATTTATCTATAGTCACATTCTCTCTCACTATCACCAAACTAAATAACTGACAAAAGTGTCACCTCTTGTCTTAATCCATTTATACAGACTGTTGATTTTGTGTCATTTCATATCATCCTCATTTACCATTCATTTACTCAATTGTTAAACATTTAGCCCTAAATAAATCTTCATTTATCACCAAGTCGTTGTCTGTGGATATTTCTTTTGAGCAGGAACTAAGATCACTGTATAGACAATTCATAACCCAGGTATTGAGATTGATTCATTATTTATAAGTGTACTGACGAATCAGTAATTGGTTTCTGGAGTTATCAGTTTGATTAGTCGCTTCCCTTCCCTTCATTGGAGGGTGGTGCCTCTAAATTTATGACAAGTGCAAACATTTCCTAAAGGTATTGCTCCTACAGTACTAACTTTACAAATTCTTCTTATCTATTTGCCTTGTTTCGATTAGTTTGTTGTCCAAACCAGTCCAAAGTCTCATGGACTGGACAACCTAGCACCCATGGATAAGCAAATTTTCTCGAGCGTCTGAGGTGAAACAGTATCTGCTTTGCTTTTTTCACCACTGAGTCAGTATGTAGCACCGAGGTCAGGCCAATAGTGATGTTGACACCAAGCTACTCGAAGCTGTCCGCCCTCTCCAGGTAAGGACCCACTGATATTAAGGGGGGCACAGTTCCCTCACTGCGTCCTCTTGAAGTCCACTATCGGCTCCTCAGTCTTGCGGATGTTCAGGAGTAGGTTGCTGTCCTGACACCAACAGGTCAAATCCTTTACTTCCTTCAGATGGTCTTGCTTGTTTGTCGATGTGGTAGCGATCATAGCTGGTGTTGATCTCCACCATTACATTAATGTTAATTCCAGTGTTTGCGTTTGAAAAACTCGACTGGCCAGGTAGCAGAGTTGGCAGAGGGAGAATTTTAAACTGGTGAGTTGACTTTGGTATCCTGATGAGTGACTCATAGTCATATGTTATCATGGTCTAATACTATTCACAAAAATCACAACTAATATTTGTAACAATACCTCTGTAAGCTAACTGTAAGCTTGCCAACCAACTATCTACCTATTGGTAGGCCTGTGACAATAATTACATTATCAACTTACCGTACGATACATGGGCAAGACGTCAGTCATTTTGCTGACCTCTATATTGCTGTTGTGTTTACACTTGTGTTTGCTTACATGAAAATGTCACCAACATTTTAGCCAACATGATGCCAGAATAAACAGCAGGGTTTTACCAACCAACGTGATTCTCCCTTTTTCTCTCCAACCCTGCCTACTTGCATTAAGCATAAAACAACTCTTCAGAGACAAGACAGTGTAGCTTACCAGTATCCTGCAGCTGCACTTTTGGAACAGAATAGGCGCAGTCTTGACATTCGTTAGCTTGCCAACCCCTGGCAATGAGCCAAAGAGTTGGTTGTTGTTTTACCCTGCTACAACTTCATCCTGCACTCAGTAAACCCACCAGCAAACTGCAGTATACCAACTGGATTACGGAGGCATCCAGTTAGCCAAGATGTATCCAGGGACAGATCTATTACGCAACAGATGTAGATCAGTTACAGGACCCCTCATTCATACTTTTTCAACTTGTCCAAATCTTAATAATTATTGGATATTTAATACATTTTCTGTGGGTTTTGGAGCCAAATTTTTGCATTTTTTGCAGTAGTTCCAGACAAACTATTAGAATGCTATTGTCCTTACTTTCTTAACTGCTAGACACCTTATACTTATAAAGCAGAAGCAGGAGCCCTCTCCCACACATGTCCAGTGGGCTGAAGATCTCATGAGTTTTGTACACCTGGAGAAAATAAAGTGTTCGCTGGGTGGCTCTACAGATAAATTTTATAGGACAAGACAACCATTTCTGACACGTGAAAATGCTACAACTGTTTACTGAGTCAAATTACAATGTAGATTGGCTATAGACAACTGTGACTGATGTATACATCTATTTAGGTATGCTTGTGTATTTATGTTTACATTTTGATTTATTTTGCTGTCTGCTCATGTATGATCTGAAATGCATATCTGCACATGTATGCATACATACATACATATCTGCACATGTATGTATGTATACTATCATTTCTAATTTTCAATGGACAAATGGACAACATGCAAGGTTTTGTATTTCGGTATTCCACTCTGAATGTATTACAGTTGTTATGTTGTTAAAAACAAGGGAAAGAAAATAATAAAAAAAAAAAAATCCAGCCTCACACAGAGTATTTGGTATCTTAGGAATCTTTGCCATCTCCCATAGAATATAAAATTAAGTTAATGTGGTTTGACAAAAAATCCATGTGATGATGATTATCCACAGTTGTATCTTATTAACTTGGATAGACAGCCTTTTAATTATCTCCCTTCATGAGGGTTCATCTTTCCACTTTACATCCCACTGTTTGGCATTTTTCTGTGGTCTATAAACTTACAATTAATAATTTTATTTTAATTTATTAATAAACACTTCAATGTAAGCAGGTGCAAATCTTTATTAATCTATTTATCAACAACTTATAACTCCGTCTTTGTGCTGCTGTGTAAACAGATAAAGGATGACAATAAAATAAATAATTTGTAATGTATTCAATATTTCTTTATAGGAAAAGTTGCTTTTTACAAATATTGTAAACTTAAATTTTTCTTATTATTTTTTCCTGATTAAACAGCAGGTAAATACTGTACACTGAATAATCTATAGAGTTTACGTTTGTTAGTTATTTTTTATGTTTACCATATACAGTATATGTCTCTACAAAGAGCTGGATGAACAAGTTTTGTTCATACAAATGTGCATTATAGATCGGCATGTCAGACTTTTGTTGTCACACAAAAGGACACTCGTGTCTATAAATTGTCCACTTACCGATCAGAGGGCCGCACAGTATGTTTTTGAAATGTGTAAGAGAGTCTATTGTTTGTTGTTCTGTATTGTAACAGCAAAAATGCTCATTGTATTGACTTCCCTATGGAAAAATCCATTCTAAAGTCTTCTAGGGCATCCAGTCACATGGAAATGCACCCCTGAGCACTCTATAGGCCTCTATACCATGTTGCTTGCTCAGGGCTTTACACAATGGGAGCCACAGATTCTGTGGGTTTGGTCAGGTATAAAAGTAACAGTTAAAACAGGAGCGACATCAGTGTTCCAGCAACATAGTTCTCTGAACTACTCACACCACAATCATGAACATGGGCAAGGTAAGCTCACTCACCTAAACAACTATTTTTTCTTTACTTTTTTTAATCAGTGTTTTATTTTTCAGCTTAAATCAGCTTAAATCCTTATTCCTTACATTACAATTTATGTCCTTTACCAGATCATCTTCTACGAGGAGAGGAACTTCCAGGGTCGCTCCTATGAGTGCATGAGCGACTGCTCTGACATGTCCTCCTACCTGAGCAGGTGCCACTCCTGCAGGGTGGAGAGCGGCTGCTTCATGGTCTACGACCGCCCCAACTACATGGGAAACCAGTACTTCATGAGGAGGGGCGAGTACACAGACTACATGAGCATGATGGGAATGAGAGAAAGAATCAGGTCATGCCGTATGATCCCCATGGTAGGTAGAAAACAGCATCCGTCACACTATGTTTCTACTACGGGTAACAGCCCCTAAAAAACTTGATATTAAGATATCTCTTTCAATTCTCTACAAAAACAGCACAGAGGCCAGTTCAGGATGAGGATCTACGAGAGGGAGAACTTAGGTGGTCAGATGCATGAGCTGATGGACGACTGCGACAACATCATGGACCGTTAACGTATGAACGACTGCATGTCCTGAAACGTGATGGACGGACACTGGCTGATGTACGAGCAGCCCCACTACAGAGGCAGGATGATGTACCTGAGGCCCGGAGAGTACAGGAGCTTCAGGGACATGGGCATGAGCGGCATGAGGTTCATGAGCATGAGGCGTATCATGGACATGTAAAAACTACTGTGTAGAATATGTCTAAATAATAAAACTTTTTTGACAAAATATTTCCAAATGTTGTGTCCTTCAGTATCACATGAATACAGTTAGGCAGCCATTCTTATATCTTTGGACTAGGGCTTAATTTTCAGGGCACACCACAAACATACCAGGAATGTTTTTTTTAATATATTTTCACATCATTAACAATCCTTTAAATATGTGAATCATTACAGAAAGACTGTTGTAATTGGTGCATGCAGTATATACGCAAATTAACAGAGGTTTGCATATTTGCTGGATACTAAAGTTCCACAAACTATAAATAACATCCAAGTACAATTTGTGGTTTGAACAATGTCAGCCCTACTTTTGTTTTTAAATTACTTTTATAAAACATTGCTAATTACTATTAAAAATGAGATAAATGATGACACTGAAAGCCGTGTTATAATGGGATTATTTGTGTTTTAGTAACAGTAAGGTAGAGTTATACCTAAGTGATTCTTTACAACAAATATTTTAGTTACCTAGGACTTTGTAAGGAAGGAAATAGACCCAACACACGATAATGAATGAAGGTATATCAACATATGACTTTACCCTTTACCCTGGTAAAAACTAAAAATAAATAAAAAATAGAAAAAAACAAACATTCCGTCATTTGTGTTGTAACCTAAGTCATATTTAAGACCATAATAAAAAAAAAAACTTACATATTATTTCACCACAAGATACACAGATTAATTCTTTTAAAGATCCAAACCACTGTTTTGGGGAGGATTAAGTCAGAATAGGAAAGTAGGAATATACTCAGGACCTCTTGACCTTTACCCCAGTGCCATTGTCAGTTCAGAAATGCACCTCACCTCTCTTTATTCTATTGTCCGCTGTGTGAATCTAAAGGCTTTTGTGACCCTGACCTTTACTGACCTTTTCTTTGGCACCACCATCAGTCCACACAAATTATCAAGATCTAATTGGCTGAGCATGATTATGCAAAGCTCAAGAATGAACTCTTTACAAGCTTCTATATAAGTCATGTAAACAAGTTGGCTGGTTGCTATGAAACTTGTTGAGCACAATTATGCTCCAATGGACAGTTTAATGTAGAAATTCTAGAACCACCTACAGGAAAACATTTACACAAATTAAGGCCAGAGCATATCTTTACATTTTTACAAGTCCATACTAATGAAATAAATTGCTGAAAAGTCATTTTTTTCACCCACTTCCCAATGTCCTAGAAGGTCGGGGGTGGGCTCTGTCAATGCGGAAGGGCCTAAAATGGGGGAGTAGAGCTTAGTTTCAAGTCTATACCACCTTCGTGGTACAGGCAACCAATGAAGGGAAGCTAAAATAGGTGAGATGTGATCATGTTTTCGTGCTCTAGTTAAAAGTCTGGCTGCAGCATTTTGGACACCCTGAAGTAATTGAATCAAGTTTTGTCCCAGGCAAGTAAATACAGCATTACAACAGTCCAGATGAGACGTTATCCAAAATAACTCCAAGGCTCTTAACAGTGGGATCGACCCGTTGAGCTAAAGAGCCAAGAGCAGGCAAAACTTGGCTTTGAGAGTGCTCAGGGCTTATAATAAGGACATCTGTTTTAGAAGCGTTAAGCTGGAGAAAATTCACTGCCATCCAGTCCTTAACCGCAGCTAAGCAATTATGCAGGGCAGATAATTTAGCTGATTCTGATGGTTTGCAGAAGAAGTACAGCTGAGTATCATCAGCGTAACAATGAAATGAAATATCATACTGCCTAATAATGTGGCCCAAGGGAAGCAAATACCACCTCAAGGGGATTAATAAAGTATGTAAAACTAAACAAAATAATAAAAAAATAAAATACAGAGAGAATAAAATTGGACCAAGAATGGATCCCTGTGGCACCCCAAACATAGACCGGGCTTGAGATGATGTGAAACCATTGACAGACACAGAAAATTTTCTTTCTGAAAAATATGAAATGAACCACTGGAGGGCAGTTCCAGAGATACCAACCCAAGTTCTCAATCTTTCAATAATGATGCTATGGTAAAAAGCCTGTCTCATGGGCAGACGTGGAGTAGTGAGGAGGTGCAGGCGCTTATTGATATATAGTCAGAGGACAATATATTGAAGTTGCTTGTTACTCCACACAGTGGATTTCCGTTTTCAGTCCTGGCCAGTCAATGAGCCAGGTTTTCTTCTTCCTCGTGCTTTTTTTCTTCGTGGTCAGTGGTCGTTTCAGGGAATACCGCCCCCAAACGAGCAGCTGTTGTAACTGCGTGACATTGTCCAGGCAGTGTAGTCCGCTTTAAAAAGTGCAGTGTGAAAGTGAACCGAACCAAATGAAGGTGTGAAATTTTTCGGCATTCCCCGCCCAATTGAACCAAGTCCCCCGGGCTATCCTGGTGTGAATGCGCCCTAAGTCATTACCTTAGATCCTCAAGTCTACCCTCACTAGTCAGTCAAGGTTGGTAACCAAAGATGATCAGGCTTTTGTCATCGAGGCCTCTGGAATTCTCTGCCTGAGGTGATCAGGCTGGCTAGCACATTACCTGTTTTTAAATCATTGGTTACAACATATTTTTACAGGAAAACATTCCCCTTCAATGCCTGATTTGTACTTTTTGATTTGTAACTTTTATGTTCATTTTCTTTTGTATTATTTTTACCTTCGTGCACACTATTTTTCTCAACTCTTAAACATTTTTTTAAAAAATGTATTGTTATTGTCTTATTTTCATGTACTTTGTGAAGCACTTTGTAACCTTGTTTATCTAAGTACAAATAAAAATTATTAAATTATTATTATTATTTATTATTATTCCTGGCCCACAGTGCCAACAGCCAAGAGTCACTGTTTGCATGATTTCATTTCTCAAATATATCAAACCCACAAAATATAAACATTACATAACAAGAAAGCATAAACTTACAAAAGCCACACCACAAACAAAAAAGCCCATTACTTAAAGCAATAATTTCATATTTTCGGAAATATGTTTTTGATTTCTGGTTCCCAAGAACAAATACGTAGATTTTCAAAAACAATTCCTTCAATATCTTGTTAGCTTAATCATTGTATGTATTGACAAATTTTTGATTCATATTTTTGGAAATCAGTGTTTCTAAATTAAGGAGGACGTGACTATATGAAATATTATTTATATCAGTGTTAAACAGTATGTAGTATACAGTTTCTTTGCATTTTTGTATTTTAAGTTTGTTTCATAACAGGAATCATACGGCTTGTACTAGATGCATCTCTGGTGTATAATTCAGACATTTTTAAAACTGTTACATAACAGCAAAATGTTCAATCATAGAATATCTCCCATTGTTCAAATTTAAAGTCCAAAATTGTTTTTGTTTTTTTTATGTTTAATTGAAGAACAAAAAGATACTTTTGTGTGTGAAACCTACATTCACTTTCTGTTCATGCAGTTATTCAAATTTTGGAGAACCACCACAGTTAAAGTTACTATGCACACTTCTATCACAACTTTAATACCTCTTTGATGGGCTGTTTAACAGAGCCATGTAAAGCATATTTTCACTAACCAAACACAGAAAATGTTTTTTACCAGTCACATGGGCCAACCTATTCACGTAACACGAGCACTGTTGGGAATGTGTTCTGTGAATGAGAGAAAAGGCCTCTCTAAAGACTGAGGTCCCCAGTCCCTGAAAAAATGGACATAACATCTGCATTCTGTTGGTTTCAATAGTAAGCTGCTGAGTAAGGGGGTCCTCTGAGGGGGAGGGGTCACTGGTTCTTTACGTTGGGTCAGGTATAAAAGGAAAGGGTTAAACCAGGTAGGAAGGCAGTTCAGGAGCAGCACAGCACATCTACAGCTAATATGAGCAACACCAGCATGAACATGAGGGGCAAGGTATACAGAAATTACTTTTTACAACACTAGATCACCACATTCAGCTTTCTAATTTGTTTTCTAACCATTACGATTCACTGTTTTCAGATCATCTTCTACGAGGACAGGAACTTCCAGGGTCGTTCCTATGAGTGCATGAGCGACTGCTCTGACATGACCTCCTACCTGAGCAGGTGTCACTCCTGCAGGGTGGAGAGCGGCTGCTTCATGGTCTACGACCGCCCCAACTACATGGGAAACCAGTACTTCATGAGGAGGGGCGAGTACGCTGACTACATGAGCATGATGGGAATGAGGGACTGCATCAGGTCTTGCCGTATGATCCCCATGGTAGGTAGAAAACAGCATCCGTCACACTATGTTTCTACTACGGGTAACAGCCCCTAAAAAACTTGATATTAAGATATCTCTTTCAATTCTCTACAAAAACAGCACAGGGGCCAGTTCAGGATGAAGATCTACGAGAGGGAGAACTTTGGTGGTCAGATGCATGAGCTGATGGACGACTGCGACAACATCATGGACCGTTACCGTATGAACGACTGCATGTCCTGTCACGTGATGGACGGCCACTGGCTGATGTACGAGCAGCCCCACTACAGAGGCAGGATGATGTACCTGAGGCCCGGAGAGTACAGGAGCTTCAGGGAGATGGGCATGAGCGGCATGAGGTTCATGAGCATGAGGCGTATCATGGATTCCTGCATGTAAATGTTCACTGAATGTTCACTGAATGTATCAAATGCCACTAAATAAATAATTTCTGCACTATTTTAAATGTTGCCAGGCTTATTGTCCACCTGTCACAATGAAATATTATGCAGTATTACACCAAACATTTATATATAAAGACTCATTAATTTAATGCATTTTTAAACCTTTAAAATCTGATGAGAAATTTGGCTCTATAATTCCCGGTAAATCCAACAGACAACGGTTCACCACTGTTACTGAAAGCAGGATGAACATTCTGGACAGACATTACATATGTGCTAAGGATTATCCAAAACTGGGCAATAAAATGTAAATTGCGATTCAAACCAAGATAAGAAATGTTTTAGTATTTACTTATTCCACTCTATACAAATTAGCACGTTCATTAATTAGCTGAATGCAGGTGTTGGTGATAAGTACAAGTCACTCCAAAGTACCATTACAATATTTACAGTTTCAAACCTTGAGTC